GGAGGGCATCGCCCGCCCGCCCCGCCGGGAGAGAGCGCCGGGAGCCGCGCCGGGAGCCGCTCCGAGGCACCATGCGGGCTGCGGGGCTGCTGCCGCTGCTGCCGCTGCTGCTGCTGCCGCTCGGTGAGTGCCGCCCCTCCGCTTTCCGTGCCTTCTTGCCCGCTCCGAGCATCCCTCTCCTTCCCGCCGCGCTCCGCTTTCCCCGCTGCTATGGGCGACTTTGGCGGAAAAGCAGCCGGGGGACGCCGGGCGCTCTCCCGGAGCCCGAGCCCGGCTTTACCGCGGCTCTGTCGGAGCCCCGGGCACCTCCAGCCCTGTGCGGCACCGCAACTTGGGGCTCGGGAGCCGCAGTGCTGAGTCCTTCTGCGGAGGGACGAGCCCGAGCCTCCGGCTCTGCCCTCCCGCATCCCGCTCCCCAAACCCCGCTCGGGGGTTCGGGCTCCTGGGAGAGCGCCGAGCTCCTCACCCCGCTTTTGGGGACCCTTCGGGAGAGGGGGAGACTTGGGGTTCGGCGTGGTGGGGCTGTTCTTGCAGTGGTCCAGGTGCTGCACCCACGAAACGGGAGGCAGAGGTGCGTGAGCAGAGTGGGGAATACTGCCGGAGACAGCAATTCCTGGTGGAAGTTGATGGTGGAGTTGGGAAAAGGTTAAGCTGGAGACTCTTGGGGATGTGTCGTGCTGGGGTGGTTTGGGAGTGGAAACACTTCCTGGGGTCCTGCGGTAGTGTTGGGGTTCAGGGTGAGGTTCAGGGTGATGGAGTGGGAGTTGTGGTTCTCTGGTGGGGTGTTCTGTGGAGAGGTGGCCGTAAACCACAGGGAAAAGTAGCAGGGAAAGGAAATGCACTGATGCTTTCCAGAGTGAATAAAGGTAGGGAGGAGTGGGGCATTTCTTCCTTCTAATCAGGGAAGGCAAGGGAGATACAAAATGAAAATGAAATGAAATGAAATGAAATGAAATGAAATGAAATAAAACAAAATAAAATAAAATAAAATAAAATAAAATAAAATAAAACAAAACAAAACAAAACAAAATAAAATAAAATAAAATAAAATAAAATAAAATAAAATAAAATAAAATAAAATAATAAAATCTTGCTCCAGCTCATGGCTCCCAGAAGAGCCTCTGTGGAGCTGAATGTGCTTTTATTCAAGGTAACAAAAGCTAGGGGATGCTCCGGAGGTAAAAGCACAAGTGGAGGCAGGGCCCTGGGGATTTAACTCTGGGGTGAATTCCCAGAAGTCTGGCTGAAATCCCTGCCTGCTCCTTTTTTTTCCTGTTCCTCTTGGGACTCACGGGGTTTGGTGGGCGGGCAGGTGTAAACATCTGCTCCTGATGCCAACATGGGCGTTAAAAGAGATTTCTCTTCCCATTAAAACTCAGGAAGCCCTGAGCATCATTAACACTGGCATAAAGTAGGAGCTGTTAATGCAATTTTTCTTGTGCTGGCCAGAATTTAGCTGACTTTAGCTGACTTTGCCTTCTCATGAGGTTCTGTTCTGTTTTCCAAAATGAGGTGGTAAATACACTGGGGTTGGCACAAAACAGGCTCTCAGTGGGAGGATGGTGTGGGGACCTGGTTCTGTAACACTCTGAAGTGATCTTGTTACATCTTTCTCAAAAATTAATTGATTAAATCCTTCAAAACAATGTTTTCTAACATTTGTTTCTGCTCTTAAATTTTGAAATAAGCTCCTTAGAGATGCTTTTATGTTGCTCCCTGGGTATTGGAGCCAGGATTTTGTTCCTTAGGGGCCAAGATAGGCATCCCTATTTGCTGAGTGTTTGGGCTCAGAGTCCCAGCACTGCTTAACTCCAAGACTGATATCTGCTTTGATCCTCTGAGTTCCTCAAAGCCTAAAATTTGTCTTTTTATTTCCCTTCCTCCCTAAATGGGAAGAAGTTTGGTTTGTAAGTGAAGCTGTAATATTTTGGGTATCTTAGGAAATAACGGTTGGGATGGAGCCTGCATGATTTGCTGTGTTTAAATTGGATGTGAAATGAGAGTTAAGGATTTCAGAGCTCATTTTTGGAAGGTGACAACTTCTTGGTGTGGGGCAGAGCAGAACCAGCCTAAGGTCGCTGAAGTTTTTAAAAGCAGCTCTCTGGTGTAGAGCAATTTCCTTAGAAATACTGACTTCCAGGCTTGAGCTTCCCAATCCCCTGGTTCTGCAGAGATTCCCCTTTATATCCTTGCTTAAATCAGAAGGAAATGAGCCTCAGACAAGGCACAGCCAGAGTGTACAAGAGATGCAGCAAGTATAGCATTAGGCAAAAAAACATCTTTAAATTCCACCAGTCGGGGAGGGGCTCAGAGTTACCCATTACAGCATCTTCATGGGATATTTTATTTTATTTATTCTTTCTCCACATTGCATCTTGTATTCCCACAAGCGGTCTGATAGCAAAATTACATCAGGAAGAGACAAACAATACTTTTTATTCTCAGGGGATTCAAAAGAGCCACAGCTCAAACCTGTCCTGGGGGCAAAAAAGGGCAGGAAGGGCTTTTACCGGAGATCAAGCACCGGGCTCAAAGCAAACCACAGACTGATGGGTTTGAAATCCTTGTTGCCAAAACACCGTTTCTCATTCCCTAAACTGCATTCCCAGGCTACCTCCCCGGTACTGAGAGCTCCCTGGTACTGGCAGTTTGTGTTTGTCGAGGAGCTGTCAAAGATGTGCACTTTAAAAAAAAAAAACATTTTATCCATTTGAATACTAATCCTGACACAGGCAGGAGGAGGCAATTTGGGCCACGTCCCCAGGAGGAGAAGAAAAATGTTTAACCAGAGGGTTTTAGAATCAGCATCGAAACAGATGGGATTCTTGTTAGATATTTCGTCTCAGAGGAACTTTGATAAGATTTTTGCAACCTTTTTGCCATTTTAGCAGTGCAAAGCCTTGGATTCCCCGCACGGACACAGCAACGCTACCCCGGGGGCTGTTTGGGAGGCTTAATTAAAGGATTGTTTGTAAATCATTTGAAGATTCCTGGATGAAAGGAACTGGAACCATGCAATATACTGATTTAATTCCAGGGAGTTGCTCTAGAGGTTTGTGAGGAGGGTGATCATTCATGCTGGTGATGGGAGACTGGCTGGAAAAATCTGCTCTCAGCATTCACAGGGAGGCTGGGGTAGCACTTTGGTTATTATTTTCCCTCTAAACCATGTGTTTTGACTCCCCATCTGCACTTCCAAAACCGACCAGCACGAGTTCTGGGGTGTTTCTGGGGACTGAGGGAGGTAATTTACGGTGAGGATCCCCCTGGCTGTGCTGTGCCCCCATTATCCTGGGGCTTTTATCGCTCTGTAAGAGCAGAGGAGCTGTTGGGGTTTAAATTTTGCCCCTTTTATTTGTGATGCTGCTCTGGGTGGCCCCTTTGCCATGTCCCCAAGGACCCACCACAGCACCCAGAGCCCCCTGAGGCTCTGCAGAGCCAGGGAGGATGGGGTGAGTGGGGTTTTATCCTTACAGAGTGATGCTCTGTGGAGGAGAGGTCCCGCTGTAACATCTGCCTCAGCTGCTCTGTGCTACAGGGGCTCAATCCCCAAGCTCAGGTGCCTCCAGCAACTTCATCTCCAGGTGGTCCAGGCAGGATGATGCCTGTAGCAAACCCACCTGTGGATGTGCAGGAATTCCTCCCTCCCCACTGCTGAGCTGATGGGGAGTGACAGAAACGTGCAGGTTGTGATCCCGAGTGTGCACCTGACCTCCGGCGTTGTTCCCAGCCTGACACCACTCCTGCATGACCAAGAGCCACCCTCAGCTCTGCCCAGGGCAGCACGAGAGGGTTTGGGCCCTGCAGGAATCCGGGTGGCCCGGTTGGGTCCATTCCCCATGTGCAGGCATGTGAAATCTCACCAGCTCTCTCCGGAGCTTTCACACGCTCCTGCCAGCTTCCTGCTCCAGAGCCTGTTTACGTGCTCAGCTCCTTCCACAACTGGCCCATCTCCACCTAAGGATGTTGTTTCTGAATTCTTGCAATGCCTGCCCTTTCCTTCGCAGAGAGATCCTGAGCAAACCTTGTTTTTTTTTTTTTTTGCTTTTTTTTTCCACTCTCTAAGCAATGCACGCAGTCATCTGGCATTTGTTGTTCTCCAGCTACCTGTGCTCCATCCACTGCCACCCCCAGGGCTTTCCCAAATATTCCACATTGCAGAGAGCAGTTCCTTTAGGCTTGGAACTGCCAAACAAACCCATGAAGTCTTTCACTTGCAGTTTGTGAGGCCACCCTGATTTCCCATTGCAGCTCCTTTGGGGATGTGCCACCCATCTCCCCCAAAAACCTCTCTGTGTGACACTGGGGCCTAATGAAAAACATATCCTCATTTTTATCCTGAACTGCCTGGTGGGATGGTGTCCCTCACCCAGAGTGAGGGTGCTTCCTCCTGTGCTTCATAATTTGGGAGGTTTGGGGACAGTTTGTCTGAGCTTCATTGGGTTTGAAGTGCTCTAATTTAATATTTGTTGTAGTGCTGGGCTTGCAGTGTTTTACTCTGGGGATCCTCGAGGAATACACAGATCCATGGCAAACAGGCAGGAGGGATGTGCTCTGCAGAGGTGTTCAGCCACTGGAGCTATCCAAAAACATGATAATTTTTATGCTAAGAAACCCTGTCTGGGAAGGTAGACAGATCTGGGGAGAAACAGATAATCTTCCTTGTCACTGTATAAAAATCATACAAGATTTTTTTCTCAGCTATAAATGGAAGAGGTGAAATGCTGTTTAAAGAACTGGCTGTGGTGGAGTTCCTCTCTATTTTTCCAGTGTCTGATGGCAAGACTGTGCAGTGAGTGGTCATGGATGGGGGAATCCTCTCAGCTGGGGCTGCTGTGGTACAATTAGCATTGAGAAGTGTTCAGAGTGTAGATGTGGTGCTTAGGGACATGGTTTAGTGGTGGACCTGGACTTAATGTTCCTAGAGGTATTCTCCTACTAATGATTCCATGATTCCAAGGGCAGGGACAACTTCCACTATCCCAGGGTGCTCCAATCCCTGGCCTTGGACACTTCCAGGGATCCAGGGGCAGCCACAACTGCTCTGGGCACCCTGTGCCAGGGCCTCCCCACCCTCACAGTAAACCTGAAGTTCCTTCAAAGGTGACTAAACCTATTCCAAG